TTCAACAGTGATCAGTAGTGGAAAGTGTTGTAAGACTACAGGGCAGCCGTAGCATTCACTAGCAATCAGTGGTGGAAGGTGTTGTAAGTGGTGGGAAGTGTTGTCAGACTACAGGGCAGCCGTAGCATTCACTAGCAGTCAGTGGTGGAAGTGTTGTCAGACTACGGGGCAGCCATAGCATTCACTAGTAGATGGCGATAGAAGGTGATGTAAGATTACGGGTAAGTCGTAGCATTCCGTAGTAGCTTCGTTGGCAGAGTTAAGGCGAGGCTCTTATCTCCTAGCATTCAGAAAGGTATCAGGAATGGGTAATGGATGAGAATGATGGGAAGTTTGCATGTATAGCCCTAGAGTGGTGAGACCTTGGGAAAGGCCGTTCTAGGATATAGTTGGGTGAGACCCGTAGGCAACGCCCGTATAAGAGTAGCAGTATAGGTGAGACCTGAGAGCAGGGTTGCTCAGTAGTATGGTTGGGTGAGACCCGTGGGCGAGGCCCGTGAGTTTTAGCAGCACATGTGGGACTTGGTAGGGATCTTAGTGTCTGGATAGGGGATTGGAGATCCCTGGGAATTGTAAGTGCTTGCATGGCAGGATAGATTGAGCAATTTTAGGTGGTTGAAGCTTCTTCGAAAGTCGCTGGGAGCGACTAGTAGTTGTGTTGGGTCAGCGATCGGTGGAAGCCGGTAATCCAGATATTGATAGGTTGGTAGGGACCAGGGTGGTCTCAGTTCATCCGGAAGTCGGATAAGGGATAGCAGAATTTTCAGTTAGTAGCAGTGCGAGCGTATGGTGGAATTTAGTTAGTTGATCGTGGGGTGCTCAACACCAAATGATAGTAGAAAGAATGCCCAGTGGATACTGGCGATAATGACTCGGAGTAGCGGGAGTTATAGATTTGGTGAAGATAGGGTCTTCACAGCGGCAATGAAAATAGATGGTTATGGAGCATTGCCTTGGGAAGGCAAGGAAATAATGCAAGGAAAGAAGGGGTTGACCCCTATGGGGTCAGTGCAGTAATTGGAGATTACCAGAAGGATTGTCGGTTGAGTAAGTTGTGTTTCCAGAATGTTCAGGGTCAGGATGGACCCGAGATTATTATTTGTAAGGATTGATGTTAGTCTGAATGACTGAGCGGAAGGCCAACGAAGGTAGGCAGCTGGTGTTAGAATAAATGGTGGGGTATTGGAGGTAGATAACAGGCGGTGGATCATAGCAAACTTCGAGGATGAAGTTTAGTTAAAGTGGGGGAGAGTTGTAACACCCAAATTCTGGAAGGCCAAGAAAGGAAAGAAAACCCTAATTTTAAAGGGCGACTCGGCGAGTCCAAGGAGGAACTTGGCGAGTCCGAGCGGGATCCGGGTCGAGGAGTAAGTGACCGACTCGGCGAGTCGGCCAAGGGGACTCGACGAGTCTAGTCTGTGCGAGGAAAACCCTAAAATCGGGACTTGTTGCCTATTTAAACATCTCATTCTCTCCCCTAGGGTTCCTTTACTGCCTCTTTCACCCAAAACATCGAACCCTAAGCCCCATTGTTGCTCATTCAAGCTTCCAAGCCATTTTTGGGCGATTTGAAGGAAGAAGAAGAAGGGGAATCATTGAAGCTTCAAGGATTGGCCTTAGATCTAAAGATTTGGGGAAGCTTTATGAGTTATTGAAGGTATTAAGTCGTTCTCTCCTTTAGATCTAGTATGGTTGTGAGTTTTGGGGGTTTTCTACCCATGATTAGTTATCTCTTTTGAGTTAGAAGCCAGATCTGAAGTTGCTACTTCAGATCTAAGCATATTATGGTATGGAGAAGCATAAAGTATCAGCCCTTGAGTTGATTATGGAACCTCTTTGCCTGAAACCCTAGTTTATGGTGTATTTTGCCTAGATCTCCTTCTCTACACGTAAAGTTTGCAAATTTACGTGAGGAATAGGCTTGGGAAGGGTAGATCTACAGTTGGGAGTTCATGCATAACTCAAAAGTCCTCTGCATGTAAGGAGATCTGAATGGACTCGGCGAGTCCTTTGAGTGGACTCGGCGAGTAGCATGAAGAGCAGGAGCAACTTGACTAGTGGGATGAACAACTCGTCGAGTCAGATGAAGATTGCCTTGTACTCGACGAGTATGTTCTTGGACTCGGCGAGTCAGGTTGCGAAACCCCAAACCCTTCGAGTTGAGACTCGAATTAGTGAGTCGAGTGGAGACTCGGTGAGTTGGACAGGTCATGACTCATAAATCGGTAGACTCAGCGAGTCGAGATGCGAATGGAAGGACTTTGAACATATGAACTGTACGAGTCAGTAGGGTGACTCGGCGAGTAGGGTTGACCTGGAAGGTTGACCTTGACCAGGACTTTGACTATAGTTGACTTGGTTGTCTCTCGGGGGTTAGTTAGACTCAGTGTTGCATTGATATTGGTAGTTCAGGGAGCAAGGGGAGCAGGAGTTCAGAGAGTTGCCGGGCAACAACTAGTGAGATGAATAACAAGTTCAGCCAGTGCAGGTGAGTTTCCCTTTGTGTGAATGGGTCTAAGGCCACAATACCGGCCCATGTAGTTATGAGTAGAAGGCCCCGGGTTAGCCTTAGGCACAATATGCTAGTATGATATTCCGGACGAGGTCCATTAATAGCGGGTGGGTGCTCAAGTATTTGTTTATATGATAGTTTATACTTGTTGTCTGCGTGATACATGTATGTGCCTGGTAGGGAGGTGAGTGTGGGCGAGGTCCCGTATCTCACCAATAGCAGAGTGTGGATGGTGTTCCATATCTTATTAGTAGCAAAACAGGGGCGAGGCCCAAGTTAGGGAAGGAGTGAGAGTAGGCTGGGTCCGTATCTCACTACAAGTAGGAGCGTGGACGGGGTTCCATGACTCATCAGTAGCAGGACAAGGGCGATGCCCAGGATAGGCGAGGCCTTAGGACAGGATCAGTCGTATGAGTTTAGCTTATGTGTTGTGATATGTTTATGTGTTATTATTTGTTGGCGGGCGAGGCCCTGTGACAGGCGAGGCCTAAGTGAAACAGATCTGTATCCGAGCGGGGCTCGAAGCCTGGCGGGGCCTGGAGTGGCGGGGCCGTTATAGCGGGCGAGGCCCGAGGCAGGGGGCAAGACCCAGGATAGCGGGCATGGCCCAGTATGTGCAGTATGTGATTATGCATGGTATGTGGTAGGGTGGGGAACTCTCTAAGCTTCGTGCTTACGGTTTTCAGTTTTGGTTTCAGATACTTCCGGTAGCGGAGGGAAGAGCTCGGGGTGATCGCATGTCACACACCATAGATTAGACAGCCTGGGAATGTTTACTCTTATAACGAACATTTGTTTTGAAAATTAATACTCTGATTATGTTTTGGAATGATGACTTTGCTTAAAGTAATGTTTTATTAAAAGAAATTTTTGGTCTTGAATTTTGGGTCGTTACAACCTGAAATCATTTGTAATCAACTGGGTAAGCACGGAGATTAGCAGGTTCCTCAAAATACTATATACCATAATACATATATACACATAATATCCTTTAGCACTAAGCTAGTCTTCCCTTTTGTTGTGGCTCGCGTCGTGATTCTTTACCCCTCACATCGAGAATAACAAAAAACAACCAACTTTCTCCTAAGGTCTTAATCTGAACTCTAACCCTTTAAACCTCAATAAATAATGGTCTTATTGAATAAAGTTTCCAACTTTATCCATTTGCATGTTCCAAATACCAAGATCTCTAATTCTAGACCAAAAGGGATCAAAAAAAGAATCCATAACCTTGCATGGTACAAAATAGAGGACCAAAATCAACTTCAAGTGTCACAAAGGGTCCAAAAGACCCCAAGACTCGACCTTTGGGTCTAGAGTTTTCCAAACTCCATCTAAACAATATGAAAGGACCAATAATAAGCTTAGAAACATAGATCTACAACTTAAGATGCAAAAGCTTGGAGTTTGAATACTTATAGAAGTCCAAAGCAAGGAAAAAAGTTGAAACCATGTGTTACAATTAAGAACAACATTAAAGCTTCATGAAGAACAACAAAGGAATCATGAAGGTATGTACATCAGAATCAAGCTCGATGATGTTGGTTTCAAGGTCGACGAGATGAAGGCATCATGATCTGCCTTGTAAACCATCACACACTCGTGTCACTATCGCTACTATGAAATCTGACCGCTATAAGGCAGTAGTGGTATTGTTGCTCTCCACCCTACATACACACCAATCTATCCCTTTCTCGATCCTTCTATGTCTCTCCTTTTCTCAATCAATCATACTTTCTCTCATATTCATACATCCTGCTAAATGGAATTGTTGACCCTTGATGTTGGAATGATAAAAGAAAAAGCACATAACTTTTTTACATGCTAGAGCAATGTGTGTGTTTGAGAGAGAGAGATCTTTTATTTTAAATTAAATTCTTTTTTTACTAAAAAAAGTCCACCATCATTAATGGAAATGGCTATTACATGGTTTGTAAATATGAAATTTATGTCTTTGTAGTGTAGAAAGAAAAAAAGCATGAGGTACTTTTTAAATTAAAATCCAAAAGTTGGTTTAGTTAAGTGATATTAACCACCCTATTTTTAATACAATTTAAATAATTTGTTACTTATTTATGTCGTTTACTCAAGGCTTGAGTTTGAAAATCATGGTGACTATCCCAAAAGGCCAAAACTGATTTTTGAAATAAGTGGGTGGAACTGTGGAAAGAATGATTCATTTAACGAAGAAGCCTCGTGGGGAAACACAAATCCGACCCGATCCACTGAAGTCTCCCATGGTTTTCGCGCCTTCCATCCACGTGAATTCGCTTAAACCCTAATCTTCTTCCCTCCATCACCATTAACCCCCAAATTAATGATTGATCCGCCCTCCGTTGCGACATTCTAGGGTTTCACCGACGAATCTCAGTCGGCATCGAACTCACTTCACTCGGGATAATATAGATCTCAAGCAAACTCATCATTTTTAAAATCATCAGCTTCTGCTACTTAACACTCACAGTTATGATCATCATTAATAACCACCATGAAGTGCGCCGTACTCGATCTTCGTTTCTTTACTGGAAAACGCTTCCTCGTTCGTTTTTCTGGTGTTTCATGCGGCATTGTGTTTATAAATTGTCCAATGGACTTGCATCTTCTCATCAACTATCAACTGCTACTCATTACTCATTCTCCCTCAATTCAATTTGGCAGAGGCTCACTCTGCATTCGTTCTTTCGATTCTGTAAGTATCAACTGCTACACATTACTCATTTTGTTGATTTGGATATTCTTTTTGGATGATTGATTCTGCATTGAGGTTCGTTTGTTTGATTTGAATATTAAACAAACAAAAAAATGTAGTTATGAATAGTTCATCTGTTACTGAAAAACTTTTCGATCAAAATGATGTTTGATTTTACATGTCCTAATCTGGTCTATTTCTTGAATTTTAAATCTTCTTCACCTATCTCATAATGGATACCCCTAATCAATCCTTCAATAACACAGGTATCAAAATTCAGAAAGGACATACCCCAACAACATGAAACGGGCCAATTTCCTACCATTTTTTCTTGGACTTTTGGCTTGGGCATGTATCTCCTGTGTGAAGGCTGAAGACCCATATAGATTTTTTAATTGGGTAATTACATATGGACAGATTTCTCCTCTTGGTGTTCCACAAAGGGTAAATAAACCATTCACCACTTACTTTACTTCTTGTCATACTTAATATAATACCAACACTCTTAAAGTTTAACAACTTCTTGTACACAACAATTATAGGGCATACTTATCAATGGCAAATTTCCAGGCCCAACCATCGAATGTGAAACTAATGACAATGTCGTTGTTAATGTCATTAATAAGCTTGATGAACCTTTTCTCATCACATGGTATGTTGTTTTTCCTTTCCTTTCCTTTCCTTTTTCTTTTCTGAACAAAGTCTGATACTAAGTTACTAACTATGGAATGGAACAACAGGAATGGAATCAAACAGAGAAAGGAATCATGGCAAGATGGAGTGCTTGGAACAAACTGTCCAATTCCACCAAAAACAAACTGGACATATCACATGCAAGTCAAAGATCAAATTGGAACATTCTCCTACTTCCCTTCAACTGCAATGCATAGAGCTGTTGGTGGTTTTGGAGGATTCAATATTCAAGCAAGACCTGTGATTTTTGTCCCATATCTAAAACCTGTTGCAGAGTTCACTCTTATTGTCAGTGACTGGTGGAAATCTGATCACAAGGTTTGTATTTGTATTTATTTTTCTTCCATATCTTTAAATTCATAAAGCTCTAAACTTTCTTGTGTATCTTTTAAAGAAAGTTATATAAATAGACAAATAGTTAACAACTCCTTTCTTTCAGACATTGCAACAACGACTTGACTCAGGGAAAGCTTTAACTAAGCCTGATGGTCTCCTCATTAATGGGAGTCCACGTGGCACTTCTTTCACTGGTAAAATAGGTATTGATCCCTTTGACTCCTTGACCTCTTTCATGAACTTGATTCTTTTTTAGTGTAGACTAAATCTTGATATTTTGACTTTTTTTTATCAGGTCAAAGATACTTGTTTAGGGTGTCGAATCTGGCTTTGACAACTTCAATAAACTTTAGGATTCAAGGGCATGCAATGACATTAGTTGAAGTAGAAGGAGCTCATACATTACACGAATCATACGAATCGTTTGACCTTCATGTTGGTCAATCTGTTTCTTTTTTAGTCACTTTACATTCTCCTTCAAAAGATTATTTCATTGTTGCTTCTTCAAGATTCACAAAATCCATTCTTACTGCAACTGGAATCCTCCATTATGATGGAGCTAAATCAAAAGCTTCATTGCCATTACCTGTTGGCCCTACCTACCAAGTTCACTGGTCAATGAAGCAAGCCAGAACAGTCAGGTAAACAAACTTTTTTTTTCAGTTTTCCAAATTTACCCTTTTGGGAACCGATATTTACCATTCATTGCCATTGTATATAGATGGAACTTGACAGCAAATGCAGCAAGGCCAAACCCTCAAGGTTCATTTCACTTTGGGACAATTCCAATAACAAGAACTGTTGTGTTGGCTAATTCTAAAGCTACTATCAATGGAAAGCTTCGATATGCTGTGAATAAAGTGTCCCATGTCAACCCAGCTACCCCATTGAAGCTTGCTGACTATTTCAACATTCCTGGTGTCTTTAAAGTCAACTCGGTCAAAGATAGACCCTCTGCGGGACCCACGATTCTTGCGCCATCTGTTCTTGGTTTTGCCCTTCATGACTTTGTGGAAATTGTCTTTCAAAACAATGAAAACTCGATGCAATCATGGCATCTTGATGGGCATGATTTTTGGAGTGTTGGGTAAGAATTTTTTTTTTATTGGGTACCGATAAAAATTAAAAAAGATTTTTTTTTTGTTTTTAAAGATTATCAAGAAATGAGTTACTTATAATCAAGATTGGGAATCTTTAGGTTTGGTGGCGGCCAGTGGAATTCGACAATGAGGAGTAGATTCTACAATTTGAACGACGCCACCACACGATACACAGTCCAGGTACCTGATTTACATCTCACATGATGCTTTTGTGGTAGGGACAGTGTGGACCAGCTAATGGGTTGTTGCCTGGTGGACAATATTGTGATGGCTTTGTTATTGGATTACTTGTTGTGTACTTGATTTACATTTTGACTGTGTGGGCCAACATAGGGGTTGTTGAACAATATTGTGTTGACTTTTTTGGATTATTTATAGGTTTATCCAAAATCTTGGAGCTCGATATTGGTGTCGTTGGATAACAAGGGGATGTGGAATTTAAGATCGGCGAATTGGCCGAGGCAGTATTTGGGACAACAGTTGTATGCTCGAGTGTGGAATGATGAGAAAAGTCTTTTTACCGAATATGATGCGCCAGCAAACTTATTGCGATGTGGGAAGGCACGAAAGTAGCAAAAAATATGTTAGAATTTTTATTAAATTGCAACTTTTGTTGTTCATGTTGTTGTTATTGTTGTTGTTCTCTTGTTACGCAGTTACGATGGTGTAACTATGTCATGTAGGAGAATTAAAATAATTATGTTTTTTATCATTGGGTTTAAATTGTTTCTTGATACTAAATTTTAATGTTAATGGATCTACTTGAGTTTTTAGAGTTTTTACATTGTTCCCAAATTCTTGTTTGCTTTGAATGTTAGATTAAACTTCCTTTAATTATATTACTCTAAAATTTGTATTATTTAAGTCATCTTTTAACTTATTAATAGTTAATATGTTATTACAATTATGAAAAAAAATATATATTTTTATATATTTTAGATAAAATTTCACAAATGTTCATTGAGCTTCTTGTTTTGTCTTTAAAGTAGTCTTTACATTTTTTGTTTTTGTTTTTTTTTTTGTTTTTTTTGGATCAATGGTCTTTAAGAAAAAAACTTTGTATACAAATGGTCATTTTGATGGTTGTTTGTTAGATGTATCAGTTATTGAAATTTTTTTAAAAAATGATTATTTTTTTTTTCCATTTTTTGAAACATTACCTAAGGACCATTTTGAAAATTTAAAACAGTTTATTAATTACTGTATTAATTACCATAAGTCGAATAAAAAGGTAAAAAACAAAAAAGATAAAATATAATATTTATATATAAAAAAACAAAACTTACAAGTTTTAGTGATCATGCAAATATATTTTATTTAATATATAAACAATTTTTGTTGTGTAAACATTATTTAAAATATTCAAACTACAATATATCATTAAATATTTTCGTTTTCTATTTTTATTTAAAAAAAATTGAAATATAAAAGCATCATTCTTATTACTTTTTAATTTTTATGTGATGTAATTTTAAAGTTTTATCTTTATTTTTCTTATACAAATATATTTATTTTTATAAAAAAAAACATATGATGTGTTATTACAGAAAAAAACACGTTACTTTAAAAATAAGAGTATGTTGCTATTTTATTTTTAAAATATAAGTATGTAGTTTTAAATTAAATGTAAAATAAATTTCGATTTTGGGTTCATTATATATGTACAACAAATTTTATATTAGTTCGATATAAACTTTTGATATTTAATTTTAAAAAACTACTTAGTTTTTTATTTTTATTTTTATTTTTATTTTTTTTATTTTTTTATTTTTATCAAAATTTGAATATATTTCTTGATAAAGATGTAAAATTTTCAAAGCAAAATTAAAAAACATTTGTTAGCTAATAATTAACTATCGTTGCTACACATGCTAAAATAATTAACCGTATAAATAATATGACATTAATTACATTCAATTCATTTTCTTTAAAGGAAAATAAAAGCATTTCATATGTTTAAAGGTTTGTGTTCATAAATAATAACATATTGATAATTTGTTTTATTTACTTCTTTTATATAGTCTGTTTTAACATTTTAGCATTTTTTTGTTGTTATTGTTGAATTAAGTGTTTAAATTCCTAACTAAATTTGTATAATGTTGATGAATAAAAGTAAAATTCTTTTTGGATTTGCCCTCATAACCAGAAAATGGTTTAGATTGATCAAATGAGAGAGATAAAATGATTTGTTAATATATTATGTGATTAATATATTAATTAGATATTAATTGATAAATGATTTGTTAATTTAGTATGTAATTAATAAATTAATAGAAGAAGTTAATAATTAATATGAATTAATTAAAGATAGTCAAAATTGATTAATTATTAATCAAAATTAATTTGGAATTAATTCGGGATAAATTGGAGTGAGTTAAACGTACACGGGGTGAATTGTAATTGTTTAATAGTTGAATAAAAGAGGCAATTCTAGAACCTACCAAGGCTTGGCAGTTTTGAGAGCCTATTTAGGGTTTCTAGAAGCCTCAAGGTAGTAAATAAGGAAATGATTTGAATTAAGATTAAATCTATTATTTAATCATTCAAATCATGCTTTGTCCATAAGTTACCTAGACTATAAATAGGACCCTTGGGGTACCTAATTTCGTGGCTCTCTCATACCGAAAAGTGGAAAACAAAATTCTATCCCCTCTCACCTTTAATCCGAGGGTTTCTTGCGTTTTGGGTGTAAACCATTAGAGATGTGCACACTATTGGAGGTAGGGTTTCCAAGTTGACTACAAGACTTCGATTAGCTTGATTAGGATTTACAAAATGAATGTGTTCTTGACCATGGATTTTGATTCATAGGGTTTAGTTTGTGTGTTTCATAAGTATGTGGCTATTAGATGTGAAAAGGACATAAATCCAATTTAGGTTGCATGTACCCTTAAGTGTTAAGTAAAATTCTACAACGACATTGTTAATGTAACCTAGAAAACCCACCAGTAGTATCAGAGCATTGATTTTCACATTAATGGTACATAACACATGAAATCGAAACAAACAAACAAAAAAATTGACAAAACTATCTGTCATGTCTTGAATAGTCCTCGATCATGACGTGAAATCAATATAGATTGTGATTTTCGAATTTTCTTGCCTTAATTCAAAAGACATGATAATTACTAGTTAATCCATGCTATTTTAAATGTATAAGATATGAATATATCAAGTAGGTAACTAAGAATCCTAATTTGAATATGAAAGGAAGATTAAATAAGATAATTCTCAATTATAAGATAATATAATTATCCTAATAAGATTTAAGAAAATTAATTAAAAGTCTAATTAATAGATAATTCTTAAATCCTACTTAATTCAAATATTAATTATTAAATGTTAACTAAATTAATATGATTTCAACTTTGTATTTTCAAAAGTTTTAAAATACAACCTATACATATGTACATGTCTATTACTATATGTACCATTAAAAGTCCGTCGAATCAATCATAAGCCTCATTCACGAAGCCACATTCTAAGAGAGGTATAAGGAAACAACCTATAAAATTACCGCTGAATGAATATCATTTTCACCCACCGCTTCTTTGTGTTGTGGAGGTCGTTAGCCGAATGGGTTTGATAGGATATAATAACATTAAAAGTATAATGTATGAAGTACTAGAACATTATAAAATCCTACTGTAGTTACTTTAGGGAAAATATGAAATTGTATGCTAATCCATGAAAACGCACATTATTTCTTTGTGAGTTGTTAGTTGAGTGTATGTGGTTAACCGACACACTAATGTAGGACTATAAAGTTGAAATAATGTTACATACTCGAGGTTTATGGTTATTGATGGAGCGTGTATGGTTAACTGGTAATAAATATAAGATCATAAACGACCTCGAGGATGTTACGCGGGTTTGCATGGTTATTCACATCTTATTTGTGATTCTCGGAATCCTAGTCACAAATTGAAGAGCATAATCTGAGATTATCACGCCATTGATCGTTCAATGACATAAAAAATCTAGGAATTTCATTGAAATTGGTAAAATTCTTTACCTACCTAAAATAGTTTTGTGGTATAACTACGACATCCTCTTCATATTACGAATAGTATTTATGGATCCTAGCCTTAATTTAAATTTGGATTAATAACTAAGGAATAAATCGACTTAATTAAACTTCCTCCTTTAGGTTAGATGGAATATTCACCCACTTTCTAATTTAGCTTCTAATTGTTCTTTATTGGTAATTACTCATTTTCTATAGGATCTTCCTTGATTTTGATATTGGTAAGGATATCCATAATGAGCATATCTCATAAACAAATAATGCTTTAACTTTAGATAAGTTGTTATTCCCATAAAATGTAGATTTTCAAATATGGTTCTCTTGCATCATTATGTATATGTCCTCGATGTTCACAAATGATTTTTTGTGAACATGTGAACATATGAAATGAATTTGCATTTGAATAATTTTTTCACCAAAAAGCAAGATAAGAGTAATTTGAAAATATCAAACGTTTCTAATTGCATTCGAATTGAAGAAAAGGGTTTTGTATGTAATCAGTGAGAGCTACATAGACAAATTCTAGAATCACAATGTTGCCCTTGACAAGAGTCTTGCTATAGATCTCGTGTTTGGATCTTTCGTTAGTTCTTATGATAATTTTGACTTGATTTATCGTATGAATAGCATGGAGGAAAACATTGATGAGATTCTTAAAACTTCTCCAAACCAGGAAACTATAAAGGAATTAGATTTCTTATCCAATTCTAGTTATCGATTTTGAATGTCGGTAGAATAAATAGGAAACATTCGAATCCTAAATGGAAAGGAACAGTTTTCGGCCGAAACTTCCCATTATGAAGGAAAAGAATTGGAATGTCCTTTATTCCATGGAACCATGGTTCAAAAGAGGCAAGTTGCAATTAATTTAATGACAAAGATCATAGGAAATGAAGTTTCCCAAAGTACCTTGGATGGTAAAGTCAAACGTTTAACTCTACATCAAGTACTTAAATAATCAAACTCCAAATACATCCAGTTCATAGTTCCTTGATGCATGATGTGGTAATCACATTTGGATGACATTTTAGGATCTATAGGAAAGAAGGAAGTTAAGTGTAAAAACCTAAACCTAATAATCGGAATCAATGAATGTTGCATGTCTCAATGATTGAAGATTTCGAGCTTATGCTTAGTAATGGACTTAGGATAAATCCAGTTGGTTTCTGTTACTCTTTGGAGATGCTTGGAAACTAAAATTTCATCATATGCATTGTATAAACATGAATTTCAATTTTCATTTCATAATGGAAAGGTGACAATTCTAGTTTATAAAGATGATAATTTTATGTTTAAAACTTCTTCTTGCAATTGGTATTTATGAAATTATAGTTTGTGTTTCTAATAATAGCAGTGATGACTTACATTGATTCTTTTAATTGTTTAGATATGATGGTGTTCGTTTCATAATCACCTTGACCATATAAGTAAGACTCGCATCACTAAGCGCCAATTGGACCGGACTTGGAATAATTCAACTTTGAGGTGAATAATTCATGTGAGTCTTGTATGTTGGCAAGATGACTTGGTCACCACTCACATAGACATGTAATGGTGATAAAGGATTGTTGTATCTTGTACACACTAATATACGTGGACTCATCAGATCCACCATTAGGGACGATATATACTACTATGTCATATTTATTGAAAGGATTAGTAAATGTGGTTATGTTTATATGATTAAGAATAATTCTGACACTTTGAAAAATTTGAAAGAGTATCAGTAGGGAATCAATT